AGTTGGGAAAGTCACAAGGCTTCCTCAAGGGGCAGAGCTAAACCAGGGATTTTTGTTCCCAGGGTTCTTGTACTGCTAAGCCTTCCGCCCCAGATTTTGATTTACTGGGGCTCTTCCCCCTCCCAAGGCTTTTTGACCCTTTATACTTCTCTTTTGGACTTTGTTATGCTTGCTCCCCTTAGATTTGCCTCCCTGGGCCTTCTACCCACAGTGCTTGGCCACCCCATCCACCATCCTATGTTAAATAAACCATGGATACACCAGAACTGTTCCTCTGGGGCTTAGCCATCCTTGGGAACAGGCCATTTTCAGGACCTTCATTCATTTCAAAAAGACCATGGATTTCTTGTCCAGGATTCAAACTGCAGTTTCCAGCACCTGGGGCATTACAGCCCTGGCCTTTCGCTAGTATTCTTGCTCTGTGGGGCCTAGCTCCTATGCTTGCCCCTCACCTCTAACATCATATTTCTAAATCCGTTGATGTTCTCTTGTTGGGCATGGATATCCCCGAGCTTCCAATATTATATGTTACATTGCCCTAGGCTTGCTATTTCTGCTGCTGCTACCCAGAGACTTGACCACTTGGGCTGACCCCATCAGCTCTTGTGTCCTGTGAGGTTAATGGGGGTGGCCTTGGTACTGGATAAGGGCTGACTGAGATAGGAATGCCAGATTGATGCAATTCTTTTTGCTGCACTGGTGCAGGACATGAAGGAGCAGGATTGGAAAGGGGTTGGAGTATCTTGCCTGATTCTCGCTAGCACAAGATTCACTATGTTTTGAACCACAGTTGGATAAGGTATTTGCTGTTTCTGTACTGCTGTGTTTTCCCTGAGATTTAGAGATAGCTATTCCATTGTTTGTGTGTTTAGTGTTGGTACTTTATTTGGTTGAGTATGAGGCTCAGTTTGGGAGCATTCTCACATATTTACCATAAGCACACTAGGACTTCCCCTGATGGGATGACTCATAATCAAATTCATCACGTTCTAATAAAGCATAGGGGACAATCAAACGTTGTAGAAGTGCAATCTTATAGGGGAGCAGACTGTTATACTAACCATTATTTAGTGATAGCAAAATAGAGGGCAAGACTCTTAGTCAGAAAACAGGTGGGGCAGATATACAGGATTGAGAAATTCAGTGTCAAAAGATTGAGAGATGTATCAAGAGTATCAGGTAGACATTTCAAATAGGTTTGCAATCCTAGAAAACGTTTGAGAGAAAACAGTGAATAGGGAAGTAGACATCAGTAAGGCCTAGGAAATATACAGGATAACATGAAAATTTACGCTGAATAGAGTGTAAGATATAAAATTTCACAAAATAAAGCACAGTTTGATGTAGAATGCTCTGTCTTGGTAAGATGGAGATAGCAGATTAGGTTGCAATGGCTGCAGGCCCATACTCAAATAAATAGGAAAAGGTATCATAGTAAGGCACGTAACCAGCAGAACTTTGAGGAATAAGAAGGAGGGGGTATCTCAAAGATTGGATAGGGGACCCGAAAACTAACAGCAAAAATAAAAACAGCAGGGAGTTGTTTAGAGGCATAAATGATTTAAAGAAGAGGTACAAATCTAGGACACATGTGATTAAGGACAAGAATGGGGATCTGCTTGTTGACTCACATGGCATCATAGACAGATGGAAAGATTACTTTATTAGGTTACTAAACTTTCACGTAGCTGGTCATGTAGCACACATGGTGAGGGGGGAATGTGCGCATACAGAATTTTGGTAGGGAATCCTGGAATATGATCACTGGGGCAGACCAAGAAGGAGATGGGAGGATAACATCAAGATTGGTCTTAGGGAGGTGGGCTGAGGATGACAAATGGATGGAGTTGGCTCAGGATCATGGCCGGTGGCAGGATTTGTTGTTGAACCTGCGGGTTCTGCTACCAGGGAGCTAGTTAGTATTAGAAATTATAATTTTTGCAGAAAGCACAATTGTTTTGTTTGTTCCATTTTACAGAGTGAACGTTCGTTTCAAAAGCAGCCTACAATTTTTCTCAATCGTAAGAAAGGCTTAGGAGCCAAAAAAAGGAAATCTCTTCGTTACATACGTAATGTTGGTTTGGGTTTTAAGACACCAAGAGAGGTAGGTTGGATTTTAATAAGATCATTGTTTTTATGTGCATTAATCTTTGTTTTGTTTCCTTTTATGTATAGACAGAGAGAGCATTCCAAAAGCAGCCACATTTGAACCTTAACAGAAAATTTGGGCAGAAGAAGAAAGTACTTCGTCGACATCGCAATGTTGGTCTTGGGTTTAAAACTCCCAGAGAGGTTTGTGTATTCCATGTCTTTGCCTGTTGGTGGCTGGTGATGGGAGAGGACTTAAGTGTTGGTGTCCACTTTACAGGGAATGGGATGGTGTCTGCCTGATTTGGACTGGAGTGGTGTGATTGCATATGAGATAGCTTTTGGTTACATAACTGGTGGTTTTGGTAAATCTAGAATTGCTTGTCATGCCCACTAATTAGAAATATAGTTTCACTTCAAGGTTCCCAGTTTTGAAGCTTCACAAGTGTTCAGAACACTTAATTGGTGGATATATGGTATGTATGCTGAAGCTCTTTTAGTGCAACCCTCAGTACAACAGTTGCCCATCGGCATCATTCTGGTCTTTGTTGTATGAATGCAGGACATAAGTGTCTATCATTGACTGACCTTGGGTTTAATTAGTTTTCCATACCCCAGTCAGGTGATTTTGAGGGATTATACCTTCCACCACTATTTCAGACGTAGTTCCTTAGGAATGAGTTCGCATTCTAACCCCATTACAGTCCCATATTTTGTCCACCGCCATATTTGTGTAAAAGTGAGAATGACAGTAAATTGCATTTTTTATTTATTAGTGTATTAAATTATTTGGTGCAGTTAGGATTTTGGTAAAAAGAAAAGGCAATGTTTTGGAGTATGTATATAGATAGGATGTTAAGGAGCAAAATACATAGTGTTTGGGTGTAATATTTGTCATCTGCTTCCCATGTGCTACTTTTAATTGTTCCTCAATAATTTCGTCTGTTATTCCACTTTTTGCATTTACTTGCAGCTGCTCAAGTGATGCATCCTCAAGGTCTTCACACACTTTAAGTGTTTTGTGCTCCCCCCTCCAACTTAAAATGCATCTAGTGCACCTTTGACTTCTGGATATTTTTACTCCTTGAATGGGAGAAACATTGGGTAACATTTTATTGGCATGTACAAAGATACTTTTCCTTGTAGGCTCACATCTTTTTGTCACCATTGTTCGTTTTGCCATGTTGTACACTTGCATCTGCTTGTGGTTATACATACCTGTCTGTGTTATACATGACTTCCTTGTACTGTGACCATGCTAGCAGGTGTATTCAACTGCCATCTGAAGTGTTGATGTTGGTGTTTGGGTTAGTTATACTTTGTTTCATAACAGAAGAGTCCACTAACCTTGTTAGACAGCAAAATGGGTTTATTTTTAACTGTTATACCAGAATTCTTGTAATTTTACAGGTTACTGTATATGCAACTTATTGGTAATGTATAAAAGTCTGTTGTTTGTTGATGAGACCACCTTGCTGCATATCAGTAACTTTTGGATCCTAAGATGTGACAATTCCCAGCTGACATATTCATCAAAAGAATGAATATGACATTTCTGTTTCTACGTTAATCCATGCTGTGATTGGGTTTGTGTTGAACGTTCATCTCTGTTGCCATTGGGTAGCTTACCTAATAAACTTATCTTATACAATGCTTTCTCTGTGCTACATAAGACATAGACTGACCTAAGCTGGGTAATTTCTTTGTATTCCAGAGCTTTTAATGGTATCACAAATGTAAAAATAAAATGTTTTTGCCTGCTTAGTTTTAGTTATGTGACTGGGAGCTTGGAGCAGGGAAGTCTGTGGAGTGAGCAGGAGACTTTTTTACAATATTTTGTTATGGTACAGTTACCTTGTACCACAATACTTGATGTGACTGTAGTAATGGTCTCACATCAAGTAATGCATTCTTGAATGTAGTGATGTTACTTGAGAGTCTTCATCATCAGCAGTCAGAATCTGTTTTGGGGTTAGAAATGTGCCACTTTATGCAGCATGTTATAAAGTTTGTAGTTACTGGTAATGACTCTAGTCTACCACAGTGGTTACAAAACATCCTCTGAATTCAGCTATTGAATGTAAAAAAAATGAATAGTTGGAGTGAAATCTGTGTTGAAGTTATTGTAGAACAGTGGTTTGTAAGCCTCATTGGGGTACAAAAAGTTTCAGAATTGAATTTCTTATTTTAGAATTTCTGTTTGTATTATTTTGAAACAAATTAATAAAAGCAAATTATTTTGACATAATTGGTAAAGAAGATACTGGTAGGAGTGAGAGGGGATTTTGGAGTTCACTGTTCCTGTACTCCGGTTTTCATGTTTTGCAGCCATCATGCAAAGGAACAGGAAGATTCCACTTTTCATCTGCGTATTGTAAAGATTTTCTTTTTGTATATATCAGATTATTGTGTTTTAAATTTCAGTGTAGGCCACAATGAAGCAGTATGGCTGTAACATGAGCATAAACAATGAAAATTGAGTTTCTAAATATTATTGATACAAGAATAGGCGTATGTTTGTTTTCAGCAGTAGACTTTTGAATATGATTAATAAGGTTGATTTATTTCAGAACAGGTGGTCTGTTGAAACATCATTCTCATTTCAAATAAGATAACATGGTTTTGGTGTGCATGTCCACAGATATGGGTTAAGGCATTTGTGTAAGGTTGAGTGCTCTATGGCAGTGGTATTCAACCTTTTTTGTTCGAATACCCCCAGATATAATTTATCTTCAACTTTGTACCCCCAAAGTTGTTGGTGTATAATTCAAGTTATACATAGTATATAATTACATCTAAAATGAATTAAATAAATTACATTACTGATTATTCAGTGTTTATCATGAAATAGTACATATATTTTTTAAATTTCACGCACTCCCTTAGATGTCTTTGCATACCCCAGGTTGAATACAATACATGTGCATGTTGGTATTTTCTTCTTTCATGTCTTGTATGTTGTATATAAAATCCACTAGAACTGAAACTTATTACAGATTAAATTTTTTACTGTTGTCTGTAGTGTAGTGTGTTAAGTAATGGGTTCAGCTGAGAATTATTTTCTGAGTACAGAATTATGTAAAACTAAAGAAATGTGCATTTTAATAATTAACCTTTATTGGCCATGTGTCATGGCTTAGCACACTGTGCATTACACTAGTGTACTGTGATCTATTAACCTCAAAGTTATAATCAAGCTTGCAGTGTCATAGTACAGGGGTTTAAATCACCTATTCATTACTTTGAGTGCATTGCCTTGTTAGCTGGAAGACCCTGAACTCACTTTCTGTCTCAGCCTCTGTGTGTTGTTCAAATACTTCTTCTTTCACATTAATACTCATGTTATTATAATGATGAAAATATACGACGGTCTACTGAAAACCGTGATTAATATATAATTTTCTGACAATTTCATTGTTATTGGAAAGGTTGTTATTTGATACACTGAATTGTATAAATGTAATTTTTTTTGGTATGTCTCTTGGTAGGCTATAGATGGAACATACATTGACAAAAAGTGTCCATTCACTGGGAATGTATCGATCAGAGGGCGCATTCTAACAGGTGTTGTTCAGAAGATGAAGATGCAGCGGACCATTGTCATCAGGCGTGACTACCTTCATTACATCCGTAAATACAATCGTTTTGAAAAGCGGCATAGGAATATGTCTGTCCATCTTTCTCCTTGTTTCAGGTACATTTATCTTGCCAGTTATGAATTTAACACTGGTGCTGTGTGTAAAGATTTTGTGTGTTTACTTTTGTATCTAATTGACAAGCAAACTAGAATATGCAAAAATATCTTATTTACATTGTTATGTGAGATAATAATGTAGTTTAATGTGTGTATAAAGTTGAGATTGGGATATTATTTATACTCATTTATGGTTTTGGGGTTCATTTGTGCTATTCTAAGTGGTTGCAGGTCTGAGAATGTAAGAAAGTTCTGTAGTCAAAAAATTATAAAATTGTGCAAATATTCATATTGACTGATCATATTTTGTAGATATGCAAAACAACAAATATAGGAACACAAATTAGTTTGAACGTGATTTCCGAAACCCATAATTGTCATTCTCTGGTCTTGAGAGATTCGTTAAATTGAACATGGAGTAAGCTGTAGTCAAGTTTCTTAAACAGTCGTTATTTTTATGGAGTATGCCAGGAGGATCCTATTGAACTTGCAGCTGGTGTTCGTTTTGTCTACTTAATGGTTTGGTTGTCATTAAATGTCTTAAATAAAAACAACTCAATTTCACTTTGGTTTGTTTTCTGTTCTTAATGGTTTGTTGTTATTAAATGTTTTAACAACTCACTTTCTTCAAAAGTACTTTTGTTATCTCCATAACTGTTTATCTTCAGACTGAGGTATGTTTGGTTATTTAAATTTGAATTTAGTTTGATTATGTTAATTTGAATTTACTAAGGGAATGTCCCCTACAACAAGTCTGGCAGTCAGATCCTGGTACACTCTTTATGTTCTGATGAGCATTGGTATTTCTTCCAACTCTGATACTAGAGGCTACCTGCGAGTGACACTTCCTTTGTTCTCAGCCAGAAATTAGAACATTTGGATTGGAGGTTGGTGCATAGACATAATTTGGGCTGGACTTTTTTGGTGCTTAAATGTACCAGGAAATGTAGGATTGTGTGTGATGAAATTCATGACGGTCTTCTGAAGTTAATGAAAGACAAACATGTTTCTGATGCAGTAAATTATTTGTGGTAGAAATAGCCTCTCAAATGTTGGAATAATTACAGTTGAACTTATAATTTCAGGGATGTGGAGATTGGAGATGTGGTGACAGTTGGAGAGTGCAGGCCTCTCAGCAAGACAGTCCGTTTTAATGTCCTTAAAGTTTCTAAAGGGACAGGAACAAAGAAAAGTTTCAAAAAATTCTAAATATGTAAGAATAATATAAATTGAATTAAAATGTTGGTGTCATTGTGTTCATGGCTCTAAATGACCCTCGTTAATAATTCCTCTCAAGTTCATAATTTTTGTTGGCTTTCTGTTGTCCGCCTCCTTCATCCTTCCTAGTACTGTAGCCCCTGTGTAAGAAGATACCACTTAAAATGGTTTCTCATCTAAAAAATTACAAAAGTATTGCCATAAGAATAATGTATTTATATGACATTTCAAATTTTTCCCATGTAGAAAGATATCCAGTCTAAGGAGAATAATTTTAAAGACTTATTGAACATTTTACCCATTTAATAAGTTTTGTTGGATTATAGAAATGAGAAAGTAGATTCACACATGAATCAAATGTGCTTTGCAACACTTGATGATTGGTACAAGTGAGGTAGAATAGCAGTGACTTGACCAACTACGTCTAGCTGAAGCTGGTATCCAAATATACTTGCTATTTAAATTTTAAATCTAAATTTGAAAGTGAGCTATATGGCCAAAATGTGTATCCCAAGGTAGCTGATGTTAAGCTAATACAGAATTATATTGAATGTAGGTGTTTGATGGTTTATTACCGCTAATAAGTATACATCAGCAGGATGATCTCATATAATCTGGTATCAAGGCTATCTGCTCATTGTACATTGAGGTACTATCATAATAGGTCCTGGGTGTAGATATAAATTTTCTGCTACGTGATGGTTAGAGCTGATGCTAGGTTGGTTGTGGCTCTGAAGGGGCATAACAATCAAGGTGTGCACACTGGTCAGAGTAGCCAGGGTGATTGAAGTTGCTTTCCCTAGATCAGTGTCAATACAAATATTACCAATACAGGTAATTAATTTCTTGTCAAAATTTTTCTTTGAAGGCACATTTTGAGTGTTATTTTATACTATACATTGTGGTACATACTGCCATTTTTTTTAATGGATGAACTCCAGTATGTAGTAAATTGCACACATGAGGTTTTAACTTCTCATAGTGGGATATATGAAAAGTGAGTGTCTTCTGGGATGAAGTACTACAGACTTACTGATGTTTCTGAGGTGCTTACTGCCTCCATCAGGGTAATGATTACTCTGAATCATTTTCAGTACCAGATTACATAGCATAACATCCCAGATCACCACCTTCATTCTTCATGTAATGTGAACCAAAATTGTATTTTCAAGAATGATGTATAACTACTCATGGAAAAATATGCTGTACTGGGTTTGGGGGAAACATTCAAAGTGCCTTTTCCAATTTAAGTTATTGTATATTTGTAAGCCAAGGAATCTAGTAGTAATAGTTCAACAGGTTGTTTTTATCATAACCTATATTTCAGTAGATATGTTTTTTGTTACTACTAGCATGAAGTTTCTTTGTCAAAATTTAATGTGGGTTTCCTGGCTTTACAGCTTTTGTTCTGGGTTAAACACATCAATGGAATTTTTAAAGTAGTAGCTAGAGAATAAGTTAATATGCTGTTATCCACTAAGAACACAGGCTTGGATTAAAACCGTGGGGGGTGAGGGAAGCGCTCATTGGTATAAGAGAAAAATAAGATGATTAAATATTGAACCTTGAGAGAATGAGTGTTTAATAACACCTCAGTTGAGTGTTTGTTATAAACTGAATAAGGCGCTATAGTTTCTACTCTTTCTTTTCTCCGTGAAGGTATGACGAAAACAATTGCCCAGCTTTACCATGAATTAGTTTTACACAATAAAATGCTTTAGTAAGGTTACAGAATATTCCGCAGACGTGCATTTTATAATTTAGGACAATATTTCATCTATCATGGGAGACCTTGAGACGATTTAGGGATTTTAATACGACAGCTGACCATGATAACCTATACCGTTGATGCAGTCTAAGCAATAAGAAGTGGCATAGTTTTATTCATAGCGTGAAATGCAGTGTTAATGGCAAAGTGATAGTGCCTAGACAGAATGGTAAGACGATACTACTTTCTATCTCCACCAGTCATGTAAATAAATAAATTCGGCGATTGGATGAAACACGTTGAATATATTATTCCTAAACTAAACTGCATGCTTCACCATGAAGGCAGATGTACCACTAATGACAATAGATCCATTAAAATTTGTTTACTTCGCTTACCTCCACTCTGAGATATGGATTAATCTTCTGGGGAAATTCAACAGACAGTAATAAAGTATTTTACATCCAAAAGAAAATAATTAGAATAATGGCAGTTGTTAACAGAATTCTCTTGTAGAAAATTATTTAGGAAATTTACTACACTTTCACTTGCAAGTGATTATATATACTCCTTACAGTGATTTCATGTGGAAATCTTGGACACTTTTAAAAAAATACAGATGTGCACAATTTAAACACAAGACATAAATATTGTCTTCATATGCAAGATACTAACCTCACAAAATTTCAGAAAGTAGTATACTATACAGGTATCAAGTTATGTAGTAATCTTCCATGTACAATTAGAAGTCTAAATCATGATATAAAAGTATTCAAGCTTGCATTAAAAGATTACTTCTTAAATCACTTCTACTCTGTAGATGATTCTTGATCTAAATGTGAAATAAGGTTTGGTACTTGTAATATGACATGTTCTACATCCATTGGTTTAGTCCAAAGAAGGATCTGTGGAATGTAAATAAGCTCAAACTGTAACTCTGACATCCCTCAGAAGCAGTTTTTTCAAAAAAATTTAAGCAGTTATTTAGCTGAGATAAGATGTATTTGATTACTGAAAGTTGTGAAAATTTATTCATGTTATAATGTTAAGACATCACTGACACTGCATTATTTATGTAAATGATGCGAGGTCATATTTACCAATGGTAATATACACATTGTGCTCTTTTCACTTTATTATTAGGTTTGAGTATGCTTCGGTGGTATGGAATAATCTTACTCTGACTGATTCTAATAAATTAGAAAGTACTCAAAGAAAATTTGCCACTCAGTGTCATTATCAGTTCTTTCAGTTTGATTTTGCTCGTAAGTACAAGCTGATTTTAAATTACTTAAATTTTAAAGTGCTTTGTTTTAGACGACGACATCTTAATGCCTTAGTTCTTATCCATACTTTTAAGAGCAAAATAAATTGTCACTCAATGTTGGTATTCGTGTGCCCTTAAGGCAAATAAGAGATTTTTTTAGTGTGAGCAGAGAGATGACATAGTCCTTCAGCTAGGTGCGCTAGTGCTGCAAATAACTTACACAGATTTTTGGGCAGAGTATGAATTTACTTGTAAGTGGAAATGTAGTAAATTTCAGAAATAATTTTCTGCAAGAGACAATGCTGTTAGCATCTTCCATTATTCTAATTATTTTCTTTTGGATGTAAAATACTTTATTACTGTTAGTTGAATTTCCCTGGAAGATTAACCCATATGACAGAATAGAGTGGAAATAAGCGAAGTAAACCATTTGTAAAGTGTCTGTTTTGATTGATATGACTGTCTTCATGGTAAAGCATGCAGAGTTTAGTTTGGGAATATTATAGTCAATGTGTTTCTTTTGGTTTAAGTAACTGTCAATCTGTAAGGAATTTGTTTGCTTCTACTCTCGTAATTAATTTATTGTCAAAACCTACATTTTAACTAGGAAATATCTTGTTAGTAGTAACTTTTATGTAGTTTGTTTTATCAAAATTTAATGCCAGCTTGTTAGCTTTAAACCATTTGTTAGGTTGGCAAAGATATCATTCATGATATTTTGAAGATTCTGGATGGTTTATACAATCAAATGCTTTGGCAAGATCATAGGATATTCTACCAACATACATTCTATTATTAATGGCACATAAGATTTCAATAATGCTTTTCTGCTGAGAGGTTTTTTCTAAATCAAAATTGTTCCTCAGCAAGGATGTTTTTTGCGTTTAAGAAATTATTTACTCTTTTGCATACACCTTTCTCAAAAGGTTTCTTCATTAGTTCAGAACACCCCTCCAGCATATAGAGTTTTGTATCTGTTGTACATGAAGTTGCTTCTGATCATGGGACACAAAGGAAGATAGTCCTTGTTCATCATAGAATAGGTCTTTAAGGTTTCCCAGTTTTGTTGATCATTGAATACATTGTCTGTGTTGTGGATTTTTTGTGAAAATGTAAGGATTCAATATCTTCTGTTACCTGTAAAGGTTGTAACAACTTTTATATATAATCTTGGATTATTTTCCTCCATTTAGAATATTTATTCCTTACCATATCCAGGACATCTCAGAATTTTTAATGTTCTTTATTGGCTCTCCCATCTTTCACTGCTTTCCTTTTCTGCCTTCACCACCACCACCACCACCACAAGGATTGGGTATTTTAAGTCTGCTATTAGGTTCAGAAGTTAAACTGTTCTTTCCATTTACTCCTGGATCTTCCTGTAAGTTGCATCTTTTCCTCAGGGAGTGTATGTGTATCTGTGTTGTTTACATTCTCTACAGTCTAATTGATAATATATTTATGTTGTTGACTGTATGAAAATACATTTTTTTCAGTTTGGATGTTGCTAAGATCTCTTCTAAACTGAAGCTTCCACATCCTTACAGGCACATTATAAAAGAGACAATAAAAATGTTATATAACTCTGGATTCATTGAAGGATTTATATGGTTTCCCATAACTACATTAATTTATTTATTGTTTATTTAACAATGCTTTCAATATCTAGAATGTAGAATTTGGTGAGAGGATGACAGTGAATATTGTACATTGAAAGGAAGGAAGGAAGGAAGTGGAAAGAAGTGGTCATGGCCTAATTTAAGATACTATTGTGGTATTTGCCTATAGGGACTAAGGAAGATCACAAAAACCCCAGTTATGATATGTGGTCTCTGGGCCGAGATTTGAACCTCGGACCTCCTGAATACAAAGCAGCAGAACTAACCATTTAACTGTAACATCCCATAACTATGTTTTGAATAGTACATGATTTGCCTGATCCTCATTTCATTGCACTTTATTTTTATTCTGCATATGAATAGCTGTTGATTTAACAGTGAACCTAAGACTTTTGAAGACTCTGATGTTTCCAGTTTTCCTGTATGGTGCAGAAATGTGGACAATTAAGGCAGAAGACAGAAGAAGAATCGATTCTTTTGAGATGTGGGCATACAGGAGGATGCTGAGAGTATCATGGATGGAGAAAAGAACCAATTACTCGATACTCAACGAACTCAATGTACAGAAGAGACTGTCCTCCATGTGCTATTAGCGAATTCTACAGTTCTTTGGGCATATTGTATGACGGTAGGATGATAGCATGGAAAAAATTATTGTCCAGGGAAAGGTTGAAGGGTAAAGATGGAGCGGAAGATTCTCAAGGCGATGGGTGGACCAGGTGGAGGAGAAGTCGAATCTGTCGCTTGGCCTCCTACTGAGAGAGGTAGAAGATCGGACCGATGGAGACAGATTGTGAAACGAGTCTAATGATGGGTGACCAACTTTCAACATTGGAAGCCGGACTAATGATGATGAGCCTGGTAAAGGTTTATTGATGCTTCACAGGCTCTTGCTAGCAGCGGAACTGATTTTTCAACGCGAAAGATTGAAAATAGACTAAAATGTACAGCACAGAAGACTTACACATTGTTAAAGTAGGATTTGAGGTTTTTATGGCAGTGAAAAGATCGCTTGGAAGATCCCCAAGGCGATGGGTGGACCAGGTGGAAGAGAAATCGAATCTGCCTCTGGGCCTCCTACTCAGAGAAGTAGAAGATCGAGACTGACGGAGAAAGATTGTGGAACATGTCTAGTGATGGGTCACCAACTTTCAACATAGAAAGCCGGACTAATGATGATGATGATATGGGATTCAAATGTATGCAAACAAACATTGATATAGTTTTCTGTTTCAGGAACATGGAAATATTCGATTACGACTGCGTAATGATGAAAATGAGGATCCACCTGAAACTTATCAGCCAGAACAAAGTCGATACTCGAAGCCTATTTGTAATGTAATCAAATTGCCCACATATGCTGCACTTGTGGTGTTCATTATTGGAGTACTGCTGTATGGGCTTGCATATGCTTTACATTACAGGCTGCCTACACCTTTGTCTCTCAAAGACATAGGGTCCCACCCTGATCAGTTCATTGCAGAAAGATCCTTGAACCATTTACGCCAGATAGCAGGCTATGGTTCAAAACCAGTCGGCAGCTATGAGAATGAGATTCTTGCAGTTGAATTTCTTACACGTGAAATAAGTTTCATCATGCAGCGAGCAAGTCCTGATCAGAGAATTTCTTTTGATATCCAGAAGTGTACTGGTTCATACCCTTTGGCATATAAGCCATATGGGTTTACAAATTATTATTCACAGGTTCAGAATCTTCTAGTTAAATTGAGCTCCAATGCAAACTCATCATCAAGTCTTCTAATCAATTGCCACTTTGATTCTGTACCAACTAGCCCAGGTAGGCTACTACATTGTTGTCATGATTATATTTTTATGCTCATTGTAGGAATGTTATATTGGTAATTGTTCATTGCCTGAGGTATATTTGATAAGCAGTGTTTTGGTAATTAGCTCTACTTCTATTTTTAGGTGATTTTTTATCATTGCACTGGCAGAATTTATCACTTTTTTATTCTTAGTGGCTGGTTGCGATCAAACCTGTGATATTTTGGATATTAGGCTAGTGTGCTAATCACTAGATACCATGAATTTCTCATTTGGATATCAACATAATTTCAGCAATTACAAGAAAATTTAGTAACACATTGTAAAGTTTGTGGATAATTATGGTAAATAGAGTAGGCAATGCCAATTTCCTTTCCAGTCCTCTCTACATATTTTATTTTGATATAAAGTCTGAAGTGTCCACTGTGACTGAATAGTCAGTACCTCATGATAAAGATGGTCTTGAAGCAAATTTGATCTTTACTTCATATTAATGTGGCTGATCACCCAAAAACACTTCATTGTATACATCAGGCCAACCTCCAGTAGCTGCATATAAAAAATTCTGGCATTTGACCAAATAAAACAGACATTGTAACCACTAAGGATATACATTCAAAGTGAAAACTATGTTGAACCTAAAATAGACTGTATTTAATTTTTATGGATCTATTTCAGGTGGTAGTGATGATGGTTTAAATTGTGCAGTAATGTTGGAAGTTCTGGAAATACTTTCTCGGTCCAAGACACCTCTCAAACACAATGTCATATTCCTATTCAATGGAGCTGAAGAAAGTCCACTACAGGTAAGAGACTGTGCTCAGTAAAGAAGCTTTTTGGCCACAGTATTGGTTTTGTGTAGTGTAATGTATATGCATTTTCAAATTTAATTCATAAATGTTTATTTGATGAAAACAGGTTTATTAATACATGAAATAGGCATATCTAGTCATAAATGCAAGAATAATAGTAGAATGGATCTTAAATAGGTTGTAAAGGTCTAACCTGGATTGATCCAGCTTTATACAGAGTTTAATGGTGGACTTTTATGGTGCTGATAATGAATTATGAAGTTCCATAATAGGGAAGCTCATAATGATGGAGGCAGTGAGCACCTCTGACACATTGGTAAATCTCTTCTAGAATACACAGCATGACATCCCAGATTGCATTCATCTTCAGGCTCTTTAATAGTTGTCTACTCATGGAATTAGTGCTTAAGAATTTATTATACTTACATGTTAAAATGTGGAATGAAAGTATGTTTTATATGGTAAATTAATTATACATATATCTTTGATATGTTTACAATTTCTTAACTTGTTTCTTGTTTTCCTCCCTTAACCCTTTGAAGCTGAAGCTTGTCTAAATATTGTTTAAGAATTCAGTCCATACCACAAAGCACAACTCTTTACCATTACAAAGATCAGTGGGTTAACACTGTTTAAGGAAATAATCCCTATTTACAGTAAGAATTGTACAAAACCCATAAATTCCAAATGAAGAGTTACTGATTGTTGAGCAGGTGGAACACACACACACACATATATATATACCATTGGGCTTAACTGACTAGCTCAATAAATCTAGAAAAGTGCTCAAGCTGATAATTTTTCAGCACAACCATCAAATCCTACCCTCAAGGAGGGGGGATGAGGGCGAGTAACCAGCTCCTCAAAACTGAGTCTTTCTGGCTATGGTATGGTAACCCAGACAGAAGAGTCCCTGGTCCTCCAGGTTGGGGGTTGAGCGCAGGGCTAACAACCCAGCCTTGTAAAAAAGAATAAAGTTGAGAATAATTTGATGAATGAAACCGGACTGTCCTCACGAAGACGAACATTAACAAGGAACAAGGATAAAAATATGGTACTAAATATTGGAACGTGGAATGTGTGCACTCTGTTACAAGTAGGAGCGATGAATGGTATAGCTGATGAAATTATAAAATATAGAATGGAAATTGTTGCTATAAAAGAAATTAGATAGAAAAGTAAGGCAGTAATTAATAAGGCAAAATTCTCCGTATATTATTCTGGGAAACATGATAGACAAGGAGAATGTGGAGTAGGATTTATTGTTACCAGACAAATGCGTAAGACTATGCTGGCCTTTACGCCAGTAAGTGAAAGAATATGTACACTTAGAGTAAAAGGGAAATTCCATAATATAACCCTTGTTAATGTCTATGCACCAATCGAGGGGACAGAAGAGGTGGCAGTAGATGGTTTTTATGATGAATTGCAGTCTGTATGTGATAAAATTTCGAAACATGACATGATAATAGTACTTGGTGATTATAATGCGAAGCTTGGGAAAGAAGAAGTCTATGTCAAACTATTTGGAAGGAATAGTCTACATGAAGAAACTAATAATAATGGCCTAAGGGTAGCACAATTTGCAGCTGCAAATAATTTAAGGGTCATGAGCACATATTTCCCAAGGAAAGATATTCATAAGGGTACTTGGAAAATTCCTGGAACAAATAATTTTAATCAAATAGATCATATATTGGTATCTAGGAGATGGACGACAGATGTGGAAAATATGCGCACATTCTGAGGGGCAAATTCTGATTTGGACCGTTATTTAGTTGGGTTTAGAATGAAGCAAAAAATATCTATGGTTATGAAAGGGAAAATGGAAAGAATTAAAAGATGGAATGTAGACAAATTAGAAGATAGTGGTACAATATAGGAGTATCAATATAATTCAAACTTAGAATTACAAAAGATAGAAAAAGGGCCTAATATGGAAGATGAATGGAACTGAATAAAGAATGCCATTTTAAATACAGCACATATAACTGTTGGAGAGACAAGA